TTGCCGTCTCAGTGTCCTGGAGGCGGGTCGGCACGCAATCCTGGGGGATCGAAGTCCCAGCCCCTGCGTCTGCCTAATCTGCCAAGCTATTTGGCCAGCTCTCTATTTATTATTAAAACACGCCAGGAAAGGAAAAGTGGCACAAGCCATCACCCCCTACACTTCCTAGATGAGGCTAGGAGTTCAGGAAGATTGAGGGACGAGGATGCTCAAGGGCTGTCCCGCTGGGGGCACATATGCTCCCCCATGTTTACGGCACCACAGTTTGTAATTGCCAAACCTGAAAATAACCCAAATACCCATCCACCAAGGAATCGATGAAAAAGAGGGTTTTCTGTTTGTAGACACTGCCGACCCATAGAGAAGGATGAACCGGAGGCTTCTATACGTACGTGGACACACCTTGAGACCACAGTCTTAAGTGAATGAAGTTCGACACATGTGTGTAAACATCTCATTGCCTCCCTGGTGGGAGAAACTGGAAGAGTAAATAAAGGCCATAATGTATAGTAGGTATCATGACACGGGAAGACCCTGTCCAAAGGAAAGAGGAACTGGAAAGGACGGCGAAGAGAAGAGAAACGATGAAAGTAGGAGCAAATGGAAGCAAAGCTTTATGAATAGGGAGGGGAAGAAGAGTTGAAGGGGAAATAAATGAGGAAAAAGAAAAATCAAGATACAGCCTTACAGGTATCAACTACTTACAGTGAATGTGATCATGATGCATATCTTGATTATATCAATAAAGTGTAACAAAATACACCTGATTTTAGGCATTGCGTCGTCTGTGTAATCAAAGGTGATGACAGAACTCAGAGGGGCTGTTTGCTGATTCAATGATATATGTTGTACCTTTCAGGCAATGAGAGCCAGTGACATAGTTCAGCAGACTAAGGCCTGCTTAGGCAAGTGCAGCCACCAGAGTTCAGTCCTTGGCGCCGCACTCCTGCAAGCTGTGGCCCTGGGTGTGCGGAATCGGTGACCAAGTCTGGGCGTGGTGGTGCGTGCCTGTAATCCCCGGGCTGGGAGGCTGAAAACAGGAGGATCACCATGAGTCTGGGCTGCCTAGTGAGATCCTGTAACAACAAAGTACGTTTTTTTTTTAAAAAAAGAAATTAACTGCCCCAGTGTGAATGAAGAAGTCGTGTCAATGCCATGTGAGCCCTCGGAACCCACTAACCCACCTCCAACCTCTGAAGGTTTGCCGGCTCTGGACACCGTGTAGAAATCAAATCATACAGTCTGTGGCTTTTAGTGATTTTCTTCTGTCACCTGGCCTAATAGTTTGAGGCTCATACATCTTGTAGCACATAGCATTTCTTCATTACTTTTTATGACCAATAGTGCTCCATTGTAGGGATATAGCGCACTTTATTTGCCCATTCAGCAATGATAAATGTCTGGGTTGTGTCCACTGAGGGATTTTATAAATAAATGTTGCTGTAAACACCGATTTATAATTTTTAATGCACATATGTTTCCAGTTCTCTTGAGTTTGAGTCCAGGTATAGAACTGCTGGGGCATATGTTAACTCCGCGGTTATCTTTTAAAGGAACTGTCAAACTCTTTTCAAAAGTGATCCGTATTTCACTTTTTTTTT